GGGGTGGGGGGTGGTGAGAGAAGAAAAGGAAAAAAGAAACTCAGATAAAATAATCTACATTTCACCACTAGATGTCACCAAAGGATTGTGTATGAAACCATTGATGCACTACATAGTCACAACCCCTAGCTCTGGTCAAAAAAAATGATTTGTTCTTGTTCTCATCAGTAAAAGGAAATTGTAATTTTAGTAAATTGCTTTCCACGCTCATTTCTCAATGATTAAATGCTGTGTTTCTACCTGCAACAATATCTTAAATAGAAATATAATTAAATGGGGCCCTCCCTGGTGGTGCAGAGGGTGAAAGCACCACAATATGAAGCTCTCTGCAGCCACTGCAGCATGAGTTCAGTCCCTGACCAGGGAGCTGACGCACATGGCGCGGCAGACCTCTCCTGACCTGCCTGCTGCTCCCCTTAGCAGTGTATTTTGGTCAGTCTCCTGTTCTGCTCCCCACGCTGTCTCTGATGAATCCTATCACCCCTCACAACTCTGGCCAGTACCCCAGTTCTTGAATGCATAAATAAATCATTATCTATCCATACACACACACACACATTCTTAAAGAAGTCTCACATTGTATCCTTTCCCAGGTCCCACTAAACTAAGCTGACAGTGCTTCTAACCTGAGAGCTCCTGAATATATCTATATTCATAATAATTCAAATCAATACATGGGAATATCATTTCACTCCAGTTTTCATTAGGAAGTAAGATTAGGTTGATGTGTTTCACCATGAGCTTCAACACTAGTGTCAGAAATACAATAGCACTTGCAACTGAAACTATTCTTGTATCAGGATGAACATTATTATGAGCCCAAGATGAATTTGACAAAATGGCTTTTCCATACTTAATTGCTTGAAATGATTTCCATAGACACCTTTCATCTTTAGGTATATTCCTACATTGAATAATAATAGAACTAAGTGCTTTATAAAGTTTTATAGGTTTCCTTAAAGGAAATAATTTTCTTACCAATTGTATGATTTTATATGAAAAATCCAATCTAATGATCTCTCTTCTTTGTTTAGAATAGGTAGGTTGAGGTCCATTTAATTGAGAGATTTTTAGATCGATAGAGATAAAAAAAAAGTGGTAATAAAGTAACAAATTTTATTAAATATACACGTTTTCTTTCTCAGGAGCTGTCAGAAACCACTTTGAGTATGAACTGTTTTCCATGGCTGTACTTGGTAGCTTCTGGTTCTTTTGAAAACATAACTTGATATAGCTGAAACCATTCTTTTGGAGCATGTTTTATATTCTTTTAAGCACTCACTATTTGCTTTCTAGGAGTTGGATGATGTGTTCTTGAAACTTTCCCAACTTAAAGATAATGTCTATTTTCTGGAATATGTGCTGAATATCACCCAAAAGGAACATTTAAATTATCACACATCAACAACTCTACCCTTCCAAGATAAAGAAAAGAAATTAAATACTCCGGCACTATCATATGCAACATCTAGTCAAAATTATATTTCTGGTATGTTGATTATTCTCTTATTATGAGTTGTACTGATAACTGCTTTGGGATAATATTCAGAAAAGGGTGGGCATGGTATATATTTAATTTGTTGCTTTCACACCTAATTGAGGCACATTTTCTGGCATCTATTAGGTCCTCTGTATGTGCTTGCTAAGCAAATTCATGAATGATGACAGGTAATAATTATTGAAAGAGAGATTGCAGACTTTTTCCCCCAAACCCTAAATCCCTCAGGTAAAAGTAATGATAAAAACATATTGGTAGTATATAATCTAAGTTACATTTTATTTCTCTCACTTACATTTGAAGGATTTTTATTAAGATTGCAGGAGTAGAGGAAATTGTCCAAATTTTCACAGCAACCAGAGAAGAATTAATCGAGAAATGAATTAGTATTTAACAGAACTGTCTTGAAACTTGAGTGTGGTGTGCCTGACAAACCAATAATTTTTGTATTGACCAGAGGTTGGATTTGGAAGGAGGTTTAATGTTTTATAGAATCTGTTGTTTACTTACACTTAGGGGAAGGATAAAGATTCAGTGTGTTCAGCAGAGAATTCTGAATTGTATTGGTTGTCCTCACATTTTCGTAGAAATAGCTTCCCTCAACCTTTGTTTAATCAGTGATATTCATCTGACAAGTCACAATTGCTTGGCAATGAGACAGGGCTTCTAGTCTCAAGACAAAGGGGTAGACAGGCAGCACCTGAGAACAGTGATCAAATTGAATCACAGGGAAAGACCTCTCTGAGCAGAAGCTTTCTGGAGAGAGGCCTGAATCAGAGAAAGAGCAGCCACGTACAGATCCCCAGCAGAGGGAGCAGCAGTGTGAAGAATATAGACAGTTTGGTAAGACTGATGAGTTCATGAGTGAGTGGCGTGGCTGGTGGGAAGTCCAGGTAAAGTAAAAGGTCACCCTTGTTGGCCAGGTGTTTGTGAAGCCATAGAGTTTTACAGGGACGTCGAATGACAGACTATGTTTGAAGAGCATCCTGGTTGTTGAGCAGGAAGTAGGTTTGAGAAAGGCAAGAACAGACTGTTAGAGAGCTCTAGGGGCGTGTGCCGCTTGTCTGAATAGGACCCACGGATGTAAATGTCTATGGGAGAACTAGAGAAAAGGAGCAGTCGAGGAAGGTTAGAAACAGGGTACACGTTAATACTGTCTACATTGCGAGACAGTCTTGGCAAAGCTACATTTTGGCTTGTCACATTCTAAATTGATAGAGCTATGAGGCAGGAAAAGGAAGGTGTCAAGTAGTCGGTCAACTTGGAGAAGTAATTGGGGACATCGACAAAGATATAACAATTAAAGGCACCCTGCGCTGTGGAACAGAGAGGCAGACAGAAGGCCCCAGGACAGTGTCTTAGGCAGGACAGTGTGTAGATGCCAGAGTAGAGAGGAGACACCAGAAATCAGCTGGGCAAGTCGTCTTTGCCCTAGCCAGGGACAGATGAGTGTGTAACAGTCTTCACTTATAGAGAAGTGGTCTGTGCCAGACGCCACTCCAGACGCAGCTGACGCATTCACCCACTGGATACTCACCCAAACACAAGTTCTCCTTCCCAGAAAGAGACTGAGACAGAAAATTTGAAAGGAAGATATTGTAAGAGAGGCCTTCAAATATGCTGAGAAATTGGGGTTGAATAGGATAAAGATTTAAATGTGGTCCTTGACTGGACAGGAATGAGATTGCTGGTGATCTTGGAGAGAAACTTAATGAGGATGAGGGTGTGGAAGCCCTGAGAAAGTGTGTGACTGAAAGAACGGGGGTACTGTAACTTTTGTGAGGAGTTTTATCATGGAAAGGAAAGAAAATACTTAGAGAATTATTTTCCAAAAATGGATGAAACCAAGAAATCATTTTATTCTTTTGGGGGAGAAAGGGAGATATATTAATATGTAGGCAAGATGGGAATAACTTGCAGTGCAACCTTGAGAAGCCCGCCGGAAGCAGAGACGGGTCACCTTGTAGCGGGAGCTGAGGCGTCCAGCCTTTCAATGATTACCGAAGCCAATGAAGGAGACACTGAAGCTGGTGGGCTGGTAGGCGAGAAGGTGAATGCCAGGCAACCTCAGGACTGTTTTCTATTTTTCCGGGAGATGTGTGCTATATAGTCCGAAGCCACAGCAGTCACAGTGATGAAACTTAACCCCTAAGCCACCAGGGAGGCCCCCAGAGAGAGATTTTTTTTAAAGATTTATTTATGCATAGAGAACTGGGGTACAGGCCAAAGGTACAGGGTGGTGAAAGGAGTCACTAGAGAGTGAGAGACTGGAAAACAGAACAGGTGAACTGGAAAACTGAAGCACACTGCTGAGGGGAGCAGCGAGCAGGTCAGGAGAGGTCTGCCACGCCATGTGGGTCACCTCCCTGGCCAGGGAGCAAACTCATGCTGAAGCAGCTGCCACTGGCTTTGCAGCTTCAACCCGTTGTGCCAACAGGGAGGGCCCCAAGAGAGATTTGTAAGGTGTGATGTTGCAGTCAGTGGCCAAATTGAGATTTCCATAGCAATGGCCATCTGCCATTGTCATCTCAATCAGCCTTCTGATCCAACAGCCCTGTGCACATGACAAAGAGAAAGAATGACTCCAGAAACCACCAAATGTGGCATAAGGCAGAAGACTCAGTGCCCAAGACTACACCCATACAGCCTGACATTCACAGCACATAGGCCAATGTGTAGCCAGACCATAGCCTGGTGCTCATGAGATGTCTCTCAGCGTGAGCAAAAAAGCGAATCCTGAATAACCCCCATCGACACAAGCCCTGAGTGGGCGGGGAGAGGGAAGTGCAACAGGACCCTGTGAGAACAGGCCGTCCTCCGGTCTTGTTTCATGGGAGGACCCGGAACTAGGTGCAGCCCCAGGTGACGAGGTGTGGGGATCTTAGAGCGACTGCACACCGACAATTCTTTGCCTCAATGCACTACACCAAGTATGTGTCTGTTCATTTCCTCACATCTTTTAAAGCAGAATCACAGATTATCTGTTCTCTTTTACCCAGCTCTTCCAGAAACAGCAGCACAAGCTCCCTCAGCAGCAGTAGATTCTGAAATATCGAAAGAGAAATCCAAGATGACCATTTCATTCATAAAGAATCTGACAGGTGAGTTTCACACCTGACAGGAAGCTGGGTGTCCAAGCACATCTGCTATCCGGAAAATTCCACAAGACAGAGATCATTTGTCTCTCTGCTACCTTCCTTATTCTTGGGCATATTTATCCTGTAAATAGAAAACATCAAGTGAAATTACATATCCACATAATTTTTCCTTTACTTTACCATTCCACCTATTTTTACCTAGTTAAGTCTAAAATAACTCACTGGCTAGAGATGACTGCAAAGTATAATTTCTTTATTTCTTCCTGCAGTCTTGCTATAGTTTATTGTACAAAATGAAAGGTAGCTCCATGGAAACATACATACTTAATATCCAAGTCTTGAGGCATAAAATTGAGCCACACTAAGGCTGTGTATACAAATTGTCCAGTTTTTAACTTTTCAAGAATCCTTTATTATCTGCATAGCAGGAGTAATACAATAGTATCAATGTATGAAAAGACTGAAGTCTTCAAAATGTGAAAATAGTCACTAAAAGACATAGTAAAATGAGCAAATGTTGCCAGGCTTTCATGTTCCATGATTCCAAGTTGTTATTCTGAGCTTTCCTACTCCTGTGAAAATAACATTGTTGTGTGTTTGTCTTTGATAACATTTTTACTGACAACTAGCTAGCCTGCCATGTATTAGAACACAGGGCTTACATACGGGCTAAAAATCAGGATAAATGTAGTTTATTAGCTTTGCAGTTGCTGATAAATATGGACATTTATTGTACTGTCCCTAAGTTCCTCAGGGTAGGGAGGAAGAAAGGCAGTTATTATACAGGTGGACCAAGAACATGTGGATTGAATTTCAAAGAAAGTGTTTTCCTACTTTGCCCTGAAAGGAATAACTAAGTAGTTAATTCACAGATTTTGTTTGGGGACCATTCTCTGTTAATAAATCATAGACATAGTGAGTGACGTGGAGGAACTTGGAGGGAAGAAAAGAGAGTGAACAGGTGTCGAATACTGGGAGAAAGTCGAAAGGCCACTTTGACAGAGTGGTCAAAGCTGTTAAATTTACCTTCCCTAAGTATGTTCATTCCCGTTCCTACGCAAATTCTCATCCTTGATGCTGACGCACTGATACCAGCAGGGAGACAAAAGGACCAGAGTGATCTCATTCATCGGACAAGCTATTTTGTGTTGCTTAGGCCACAGGTCTCTGCTGTGTGCTGGGAATACAGATATAAAATGTCACTAAAACCATGTGTTTCATGGGGGAACAAACTATGTGAACAATGACAGTGAGCTGCCGTTGTGGCCTCAATGCTGACAATCAGGCTTTTCCGTCTTTGGCATCTGTGGTTACATCTGCGGCCTGGGTCTTGTTAATCAGAGGGCGCATGAGTGTGGGACATGCGTTCCTCACCATGGGCTGGGTGTGTGCTCAGGGCGAGTGTGCACACCTGAGCCTAGAGGCCCGGCTGTAAGGGCAGCGTTAGCTATGGGCAGCCCAGCTGGAGCGACAGACCGCAAGGGAACGCCAGGGAAAGCCCAGAGAAAAGAGCGTGAGGTGGTTTGCAGGAAGCTCAAGTTGCTGCATCCCTTTCCCCGACAGTACCGTTGAAGCCTGTGAGAATGATGCCGAGGGCTCAGAACTCTCTTTCAAATGGCTAGAGCCAGCGGTGAAGCTCCCCAGTGTGATGGTGGTAAAACGGCCATGTGCACAGAACACCAAAACAGAAACATTGAGGGCAGAGTGGACAACCCAGACTGAGAAGTCCTGGTGTTAGGGGGGATGTCTGTGATGGCATCTGAAGAGGAGCGAGCTGCCCGAGGAGGGGTGGGGAGAAGTGAACACGTACCCTGAGTTTTTAGAGGGAGCATGGTGCCTGTGAGAACCTGCGAGGACAAGCTGATTTGGCTGGTGCGTCAAGAGCAAGCAACAGGGCAGCAGTTAGTGGCAAGGCAGGAGTTCGGAGATGGTGTGAAGCACCAGGGAAATTGAAAAGCCTTTTTTACAAACCGAGGCGTTATCAAGAGTTGGAAGCCACCTAACAACTTTGAATCAGAAGTGGCATGATTGAATGTGCATGTTTGCACAAGAGAAAACTCAGTTATGCAGACAGAAATGGGGAAGCAGGAAGAGTGGGGCGAGGTAGGGGGGCAGCCCGCTAGGTAGTGCAGCAGCAACTGGGAACTTGGGGGACTCTGGGAACTTGGGGGACTCTGGGAGGTGGTGATGAGTAGGGGGGAGGCTTGTAATTTTTAAAGTATTATATATACATGTTGCCTCATTCTTCATTATGTGCAGTTTTTCATCTCGGTGTGACCCCATGGACTTCCTGCCCACCACCAATTCACCCGTGTGCCATCACCGTAGTCCTGTCTGCTCTTCCACCCCAGTTTTGTTCCCCTCTCCTCCCTTGGAGAATGTCTCTGGTTTAGTTGTTTGTAGATTTTATTACAATTGCTTTTTTTTTTTTTCTCCTGATCCCTTACTCTCCTGCTATGAGTGAAACCATTCAGTTTTTTCCTTTTTCTTTCTGGCTGATTTCACTCAGCATGATCCCTTGCAGCTCCATCCATGGTGCCACAATGCTTGTGTTTCTCCTTTTGATTGCTGAGTAATATTCCATTATGTATGTGTACCACATCTTCTTATCTTGGTCATCTATTTTGTGCATTTGGGTTGACTCCACATCTTCCCTATTAAATAGAGCAGGAATAAACATAGGGGTGCAAGTGTCCTTTTAAAGAGAACTTTATGCATACAAAGCTGGGGTATAGGAGGAGGTAAGCGAGGGTTCACCAGAGACAAAGTAGGGGGACAGAACAGGTGGATCTACTGAAACACATTGCTGAGGGCGAGACAGGAATGGGCTGCTTTGCTATGTGGATCACCTCCCTGGCCGGGGATTGAATTCATGCAGCAGTGGCTGTGGAGAGCTTCATAGAGCTGCGCTTTAATTCATTGCACCGCCAGGGAACCCTTAGTCTGGTTGTGTGATTGCTTGAGACACACCAGGCAGAGGAAGTGATTAGGAGAATGGAGACAAGAAACTGCTGATTGTATGGAGTGTGTTTTATGTGCCAGGCACTTTTCTTCTGCCATCTATTTATAACTTTTGGGGTTTAAATTTTTTAAGATTTATTTATTCATACAGAACTGGGATACAAGTCAGGGGCGGTGAGAGACTTCACCAGAGACAGAGTGGGGTGCAAAACAGGCAGATCGACGAAGTACACTGCTGAGGGGAGCAGCGGGCAGGTCAGGAGAGGTCTGCCGCACCATGTGGGTCAGCTCGGAGGCAGGATCGAATTCGCATTGAAGCGGCTGCAGCTGGCTTGTGGTACTGCATCCTTCCGGTTGTTAGGGAGGGCCCTTAGCTTATTTTCTGGAAGGAACTTTATCACAAAGGGGAGAAACCTGATAGCAGCAGTTGGAAGCTGGGCCTTCTTGCTGGGTTATTCACACTCAGCAAGAGAGGCAGGCCTGAGGGGTCAGCACTGAAAGGTGGATGAGTGCAGAGCCTGTTTAACAATGATAACCTGGAGAGAGTTAGCTGGGAGCTGTTTTCCTTACTGTGGAAGTCACCTGCTCTTCCTCCCATGGATGTCCATCAGACCAAAGCTCTTGCACCAATGCACTACATAAGCTCTTCTTGAAACCCCGGCCTTTGCTCATGGGGTCAAGCCTCCCACTCCCTCCCTGTACTTTTCTGCCTGGTGAGCTTCTGCTCTTTACTGATTCCACTGGAAGAGCCCCCTAGGGGATGAATATTCCCTCATTCTCTTCCTTTCAATGGCACATTGTCTCTACCTGCAGTACAATGGATAGCCCACTACTGGATGCAACTGGCTGCTGGCTGGTGTTGTCTCCTTGGCAGGGATGAAGGCTGCTTCTTCTGTGCATCCCCACATACAGTGACTGGCACTTTAGAAACAGAGAAAACAATGTTGGATTGTGTTTTAATAAAGGCCGTGCTTATGGCAGTGAGGATGAGAGGATAAGAATACTGACAAAGGAAGCTGATTCAGTGGTTTTTATAAGGCAGGAGACACTTGATTCTATGTAAATGAAAATGTTTTAGATGATACCCAACCACCAGAGATGTTGGTCTGTTCAGAAATTATAGGGACAAGAGTAGGCAAATTTGGATGTTGAATTAAGAAATGCTGGGAACTCACAAGATAGGAAGTGAACGTAAGTCAAGGACTTAGGAAAAGAGTTCTTTAAAATTTACTCAGTGGCCCTCCCTAGTGGCGCAATGGGTTAGGACGCAGCACTGCAACAGAGCCACAGTGGCCTCAGTGCAAGTTCGATCCCCGGCCAGGGAGGTGACCCACCTGGTGCGGCAGACCTCTCCTGTCTCCCCACTGCCCCCCCTCAGCAGTGTGCGTCATCGATCTGCCTGTTCTGCTCCCCCACCCTTTCTCTGGTGAATCCTCTCACTATCTCTGCACCTCTGGCCTGTACCCCATAAATAAATAAATCTTTAATAAAATAAAATTCAGTCTGATGGCAGAGCATATTCTACATGAATTAGGCAAATGGAAGACAATAAAAAGTACAAAAATGCTGAGAACACAGAAAATATAATGCCTCAAATTAACAGCCAGATGAGTGAGAGTGAGGGAAAGAATAAGGACAATCGAGCTGTTAAGCAGCTGTTCAGCAAAAACCAGCTTCAAAGTCAGTGTCTCAGCCGGGCCTGAGGACGGTAGCAGTGATGGGTGACAGCGACAGGATATTCTTTTGAAGGCTCGTGGGCATTTGGGGTGACATTTGCTGAGTTGTAATACCCGATGCCTTTGTTCCCACAGATCTCCAAGTCTTTTTCTATGGTGCTGACAGCGATGCCAACGGATATTTAACGTATGAGGAAATCCAGAATCTTCTTGGGGAAGAAACACCAGAGCGGGAACAGCTGGTGGTGTTTGATGCTGATGACAACGAGATGTTCTCCTACCTGGAACTGATGAGAGCCATTAGACTGACAGGTAGGGGCTGTCGTCACCGGGTAGGGCGCAAAGCCTCAGTCTTCTGCATTAGAACCCAAAACTGGCCAGGAACCCAAGACTCACCATTTTTAGTTGATAGTTGTAAAGACTCGAAAGTTAACACACAGACCCTCCTCCCTCCCCCCCAGACAATGACAGAGTAACAATCATTAGCTTTAATTGCATGATTATCTGTTTCTGTCTTCAGGAGGCTGTGGAAAGGCAGCATAATTAGTCATCTTTTGTACTTGCTAACGGCCCTTAGGATGAGGCCCCTAAGAGAGAGGAACTTTAACAGCTGAGTGGTATAACGTGATGGTGGAAGAAGGAAACATAAAGCTACTTTTCCCGTCTGATAGGTTAAAAACAAAGCACTGTATATGGGGGTGGGGGGGGAGGAAGTATTTGTTTCAGCCTTAATACTTTCTAAAACATATTAAAGATGACATCTGGAAGCTGGTGGATTAATCAAATAACACTTGACCAAAAAAGAAATTTCCAAGTAGATGAGTGATACAGTAATCTATTGACTTTTAAAATTGGAAAATGATAAGTTACTAATATGCTGTCATCGCCCTCTTGAAGAAATAAATGATCAGTAGAGGTAAGTTCTGCCTCTTCCCAGTTTTGTACGCTCAAACACAATTCTGGCCCCTGAGCACTACAGCTCCAAGCTCAGCTATTTTGGGGGGACGCTAGGTTGCTAGAACATCTCAGGCATAATAGAACCCACCAGCCCACGAGGCCTGGATGGTGCCCAAGTCATGCATCTACCACATTCCATTGACCTCACCCGATCCTATAATCAAGACCGCTAAAGGTCTTTGATTTTATCACTTCTCACTTTCTCCCTGGAGGGAAATCAAAGAACACAGGTTGCATGCTTAGGGGAACCATGTCTCCCACTCAGGCTTCTCTGAAATATCCATGAAATAGATAAACTGGATTTAAAAAAACAAACAAACAAACAAACAAAAAAAAACAAAAACATGAGGAGCAGAGGTTTTCTGAAGTAGTTTGCAAACAGAAACTGCTGCTCACGCCTCCCTGTTCATTGCCCAAGGCCAAGCTTGCTGCCTCAGAAGTGGAGGAAAGAGCTTGAACACCTGATGCCAGGGTTAGGTCTTTGCATCTCCCAGACAGAAAGCTGCAGCTGCCTAGGTGAACAGAAGGTTGATTCCTATGAGTGATCTAATCAATCAAGAATTGGAGAAACAGAAAAAAATGCCACGTGGTTCAGCTTCCCTGGGGAGACACAGGTCTTTATCTGCCCAAGCTGCTTGTATGAGAATTTGAACTGACCAAGCATGAGGACAGGAAGGAGTTGGGTGGATTGATAAACCAGTTCCAAACCAGTTCTCTCGGGGCTCAATCCAGGGTGTCCTAAACGCGTGGTGTGCTGCCTCAGAGGAAGCGTTTCTCTCCAGACCCAAAAGAAAGAACATCTGCCTGGCCCCTCTTCATGAGGAGCTCATATCCCAAATGGCAATTCAGCTAGAACACAGAAGACTTTGAACAGAACTGGACATTTGCTAAAATTGGCCTTCTCTAATCTGGAATGCATGACTTTCCAGATTCTGTTCAAAAAGAAAACAAAGCAGCATTAGATAGAACAGCTTAAGATACACCCAGCCATGGCGGGGCAACTTAGAAAATGCTAAAGAGAAATTCCAGAAAAAAAAAAACAAAAAAAAAAAAACACAAGTGTGGAAGTGAGAAGGGGAGAGGCCAGGAAAAGCAGCTTGATGATATCTGTGTGAAGTCTGGATCTGGACTCTCACTCAAAGTCACTGTGCATGGTGCTTTCACAAATGATCAAATTGGCTCACCCTTTCTCTAGGATCTGTGCTTATTTAGAGGTGCCTGAGGACATGTCCTGTGCCTTCACCTTCTCCAACCCCCAAGTGAAAACCTGCCTTGCTGGGCTGAGTTGAATTCCTTGTAACGAGGGTCTGCATGTAGTTTAAACTTCTAAATCTCAAACCATTTTTTTTATTCCAGAATAAAGAAGATGAAAGTTCCAGAAAGAACAATTCAGAGCACTGGTTTGATTTTATTTTATAACAATGTCATCCGATTTTCACAAGACTTTAGCAAGAATTACAGAGCTACATCTGATCTGGTTGCTAAAACTCTAGTTCTTCTGTAACTTCATTCCTAAAGTTATATAGTATAATCGAAGTGCTAATTCCACATGTACATATCAATATCTATCTCTATATATACACGTGTGTGTATATATATATATCATTTGCTTCATTTTTCTTTCTTTTGACCAAGGCTTAATTAATTGCTCATGCTGGCATTTTTAAGCCCTCCAGAATTGTGTTCTTAGAAGTCTGACTTCTTGTTATACCCAGAAGACAGCTTCAAGATTGCCACCAAATTGATGATTTTCATATCCCAGCCTTGGGATTTGTCCAGATACCTAGTTTCTAATTGCCAGTTGAATTCCTTGGTGAATGAAATGCATAGATATATGCATTTCAAAAATACAATACCACATACCATTTATACCTCGAAATTTAATTTTACATACAATTACCATTTAAAACTCAGAAGTTCCCATTTTCTGCTATAAGGAATGTTCATGAACATCAATTGAAGGGTAACTAAAGTAGAATTAACAGAAACATGTAAAATTCTCCCTTTCAAACACATTAGCTATTTCACACTGTAATACAGTGCTGTGCTAACTAAAAGATTCCTCAATAGCAAATCCCAGTAGCAAAATTATCTGTATTTTTGATTTCAGTACAAACAACTCTTGTCGTGGTATCTGATACTTCTGGCCAAGATGGAAAGTCAATACTAATATTAGGATTAAGGATTCAAGGTTTACTAAAACATGTAATAGGGAATAATCATTTACTGTAAAATAGGGTTGGAGTTAAAATTGACTGTAGATAGAATCTAACACAGGAATAAAGTATTCAGTTGTATAAAATTCAGTAAGAACATCAGGTTTCATTAATACATGAAAATGCTCTGTAATACCTGAGACATGTAATGCTGATATTAGGCTTTGTTATGTAGACCTACATTATTATCACTGTTTCATTTGTGTGACAATATAATCTTATATCTAATTCTGATGTTCCAGCCTGACCTGGATTATTTATTGCTCTGTGGAACTGCTGGTATTAGTACACTAACTAGGGATATTATTAATCCTGCAAAGTATAAGAATTATTTCTTAAATTGTGTCTTATTTACCCATGAGAATATGAATTATATAACTGCCTTATGCCTTTTGGTTTGTAAGTTTTGAAAACTAAGCATTATCAGTGCTGTCACTTCACTAGCAATTATTCAGCAACCCGAACACCCAAGTCATTGGGAATTTGTAATATTTTACTATTGACAGTGAACATTTCAACTGTATGAATTGCATGGGTTTCTAAGGTATTTCTAAACAAAATTTCTTGCAGAAATGTTTTGTTCTCTGCCAAAAATTTTGCTAGCCTTCTTGTATGAAATATATGCCTTTAAAAGCTGACTACAAACCTTACTCTTAGAAATAAGAATTAGAAGCTTCTTCCTGTATATTTTGGAGAATTTTTCCTAATGGAAATAAAATAATGACTCTTACTTTGTGATACAAGATGTTATTTCAAATGGTTTTCAATTACCCCAACTACAAATTGCTATTCTCTAGTGATTTTATACTTAGAAAGTAGCTGAATTTAGAATGAAAAATGAATTATATTTTCATTAACAAATCACTGAAGGATCCCTTTATCATTTAATTTGGTTCTTTCATTTCATTTTTTTTCTCTTTTTAAATTCTCTTTTAAATCCTGTTTCTTAACTTGGAATCATTCAATATTAGCAGCGTTTTAGAATTAGGTGAGTAGCTGAGTTTTGAAGAGAGATGACAAGAAATAACCATGCTGGTCCATCGGCCTCTGTCATCTGACCTCCCAAGAGGTGAGTAGAAGATTCATCACGTGGTTGGTGAATTAAATAACAGAATCTTTCTGGAAGGATGATATGAAAAAGGTCAGCTTATGTGGTATATCCAGAGCTAATCCCACTTATGGGGATCTTGGGTGGCTTACTCCACACGGTCCTTTTGCTCAATGTTTTTACACTCACACATGTAATAGGTTTAAAACATGTAGTGTGGTGGCTACTGCAGGGTGTGTGTGTTAATTCCATTCCATGTGGTGGTCCAAAGTGAAGTAAATGTGGGATTTCTTCAGAGTCACGAACATCTGAGCAAGTGTGCTTTCAATGTGACCCTTTCCTACTAGAAAAAGCAAGTTCCTAGATGCTTCTGATGAGGTGATGAGTGACGTGCATTGTACTATCAGTGACCACCAACAAAGTGCACACCCAGGTTTCAGGTGTATATCCCTGCCTGCCACGGGCCTCCCAGACCCCTGCCCGGGTGTTACAGTTCTCAGCACCTACAGCGTGATTACGTCGCTGTCCCAGTCTCTGGCTGTATCAGGCAGGTAAGGAGAGACTGCCCTCACCTGCAAATTCCCTCCCTCCCCCCAGGAGAGTCAAATGAAGCCAGGCTGCCCCAACCCAGGGCAGAAACTAAGTGCATCAATCTTCAATTGTCTACAGTTGCATGTTTCCAGAGACTGTACTTACTCTCTGTAAGGGGCAAGGGTCACTTAATGTTACCTCCCCTTTATGGTCACTCTCATGGTAATGTCAGTGTAGATCCCCGCACCCGAATGCCGATGTGCCTGCTGAGTGTGAAGCTGGGACAGGCCACACACATACTCTCGTCTCGGTGGAATCAAGGAAGTGGTATAATACTAAGCTGTCGCTGCTTGTCTCCCAGCTGAGAGAGGACGGGGCAGATCCATCACCCTGCTGTTCTGGACGAGCCCTGTGAGGACCCAGTGTGGCAGACCCCAGCCCCGAGGAGCAGGTGTGGGGGTAGCCCATATAGGGGAGGGGTGTAAATAATGTGATGGATACAATTTAGAGGTGAATCTTTGACTGTACCCTCAAGCCTAGCAAGCGAAAGGATCCCTTACCAGGAAATGATCCAGGTCCTGGAGTCAGGGAATGTCCTCAAATTACAATGGAAAGTTTCTACAATTCCCAGCAATGCTAACTTATCTCCAGTTTCAATAATTACTTCCTTCAATTCTGGACATCCCCTATATTATCAGTGGCCTCTGTATTTAGGGGCAGAAATAGTAAAAGGTAAGTTTCTAGAGGAGAAATGAAGTGTTCTTAACTTCCCTTTGCAGTCGACATAGTGACCAGCTACAGGAATACTTGTGCAGGCTTTTTCAAAAAAAATAAGTGCATACCTTCTTGAAAACTTTCCTTTATTAGAGAATCTTAACTCAAGTCTGGAAAATTTTAAATCACTATTTACCAAAAATGGCTAACAAGAAGCTTCCTAGAAGAAAAAAAAAAAGTGATCAGTAAATAGCTATACTTAAAATTCTTAATTCTAGGACAGTTTTAGAATCCATGTTGATGTCCTTGCAGGGTAAATCCCTGTTGCTCAATTACAAAAAACATTCTCACCGGCATTAGTTTCACACTCATATACACATATAAAATTTGGAAGACCTGACTTAGAAATAGGTTTATCTTGGAGATACACAGTATCATGAAATAAAATCTGGAGTAAGAATTTTATTCCAACAACTATTTTTAAATCATGTTTATTAAGTTTTTATCACAGTGGAGATTAACTTCATCATCCAGTCAGTACCCACTGTCAACTTCATCCCATGCCAAAGAAAAGTGAAATTGACCCAAGCATACACTCCAAAGCCCTGCTCACCTCCCACCACTCACGGCCTGGCCCTTTCGCCCCCCTTCACGGCAACATTGTGATAAGATTGTGAAAAGGTAGAACTAATAAGGCTTATATGTAAAAGACCATTTCTTCAAGTATCCAGACAGCAGGGCCTCGGCTTCGAACCGCAGGAAGCGACTAAGACATTATCTCTAAGTGGAGGAGAGCGGCTCCTGGTGGGAGAGTGAGCTGCATGTCATCGTGCATGAGGAGGAGAGCCAACCTTCCAGAATGTTCGCCACGCTTCCCGCGTTAGTGGATGTCGTTAGGTACGTGCAGCCTTTTCTACTCTCAGCTGTCAGGTGTGGGGTTTCAAACCAGGAATAAATAAAGCTGACACTCCACACGGAGTGCAAGGCCAAGTAAACAGAATGACATGGAGAAAATGCAGAGTTGCCAACGAGCGATCCGCTGGCCAGGAGATCCTGCCTTCATGCTGTCTGGGCCTTGCATCCTGATTCCCCAGGAACACTCAGTGCCCCAGCCAGCCTCAGAGGCAGGCGGCAGGCTGAGGGAGCGGGGGACCGTGGGGACTCATTCACCCACAGGCCGCCCCTCTGTGTACTGTGCACACTTTGGGCTATTAAGAGGATCGTCAGCCGCTCAGACCAAACAGGGGCCAGCGTGGAAAGTGGAAAATGTTCCACTGGAGAGCACTGAACGTTGGCACCTGTGTGGTACAGGCTGCATAGCCCAGACAGCACAAGGGGTGAAGGGTGGTTTGTTTTAAGCTAGAGCTTCAGAAAATAACACCTGAACATTCAAAAATGACATTATAGAAAAGCATCATTTACAAAAAAGTTCCAACAGTGGCCCTGCCTAACAATGCCAAGAAAGCAATAACAATGCCAAAAAAAGCAATAATCTTTAGTACTTTGTACTTTGAACAAAAGTCAGGGCTTGGTGGCTTTGTCTTGATTATGTGCTTAATGTCACTCATTAAAGTCAAATCAAATAAGCTACAAAATTCTTCCAGGGGAAAATTATCGGTAGGGGAGAAACAAAACAGAACCAGGGCAGCTACTCATGGGCATATTTTCTTTCCCCCCTACAAGGGACCACAGCCGGGAAGAAAAGGAAAGCCAAAACAAAGCACAAAATGTGAAGAGTAAAAGGACAAAAATAGAAGTCCGAGAAAGGGTGTGACTGACCCTTTCCTTCCTCTGCTGTGGTCTGAGGGAAAATGTGCTCTCCTGGTAATGAGCTGGAGTTCATAGGCATTCAATTCTAGAAAGGCTACGCTGGGGGTTCTGTGTACCTACTGCTGACGTGTGTGTGTTACCTTCAACGAGTAGAACAAGCAGTATAAGCAGTCAGCTGACAATTCTCTTCATGAGGAAACAGACATACAAACAAATGTGTGGAAGAGAAAAATGGTTCCTTACCTGGGACGTACACACAGAGGCTTAACACTAAGGTCTCACCTGGTCACTTAACTGATTTAAATAATTAAGGCTTCGGAAAGGTTCAGTGCCAAAACTCCGCATCGGTACTGGAGTACCGTACACGTTTGCATGGTAGGTTGTGCTTTTTATAGCCATCTGGAAACCACACAATTTCATTAGTAAGATCAGATGAGGGCATGTTAGAATTGTTTACTGACGTTTTACTTTTAGTAGCGGTTACACTAAATTATAGCGATAAAAACTCAGTGACTGGACAGACTGCGGGCTCATTTCACCTTCTTTTCGTGTTTCACGTGGCCGTTTCTCTTGTACTGGCCGTTAAGGATGCCATTCTGGTAATGTCCATTCACTGTGCTATGCTGATTTCTACACCATACACTTTTGATTTTTCTGTAGATAAATTTTGCCACCCAGGACACCAGGAAGTAAAACAAGACAGCACCAAGCAAAAGCACAAAGGCAATATCCAGTAAAAAATACTGACAGAAAGAGATCTGATGAACGGCAGCACGGAGGTGTTGGGCTCCGTTGTGACGGAGAATGTAATCGATCCAGTAGACGGTCCGATTGACAGGGTGACCGGGCTGGTCCTTGTGGATTTCCGAAAGCTTCTGGGCCCTCTGACGGTAGCTGCCGGGGGAGGGAAAACAAAGGATCATGTAGACACAATGCTCAGAATCTAACACTCTCCCTTAAAAAAAAAAAAAAAAACGGGCAAAGTTGGTCTCCCTGGTGGCCTAAGGGTTCAGCCTCACGCTGCTCCAGTCACCTTTGCAGCCTGAGTTCAGTTCCCGGCCAGGAAGGTGACCCACAATGGCACATCAGCCCCTCGTGCTCCCCTCAGCAGTGTACTCGGTCAATCGGCCTGTTCTGCTCCCCCACTCTCCGGTGAATCCTCTCACCTCCCACACCTCTGGCCTGTACCCCAGTTCTTGTATGCATTAAAGAAAAAGGCATCTTAAAGAAGAAAGAAAAACCAACAGGACACAGATCATGTTCCATAAAAGCATCACCTCTGGATGAACACGAGACTGAAAGGACAGCAATGAGGGGATCCCAACCTTGGGTGCCTCAGTCACAGACTATACCGCTGCAGGGGGCAAGGCTGGGAGGGGTCCTCTAGGGGTCACCTCTGAAGGCCACCTCTGGGCCTGCCAGGGGCAGCGCCATGTGCCCGCAGCACTTTCATGGGAAGGGAATTTTCTGACTATTGTTTTATTTTAGAATGTGCCTCAATTCAGGGATAAGCCAGGTCCTGTTCTAAACTAAAAAAGCTCAATTTAAAAGCTAACAGTCCTGCCCTTTGAAGTGCACGATTAGTAACAGGGGAGAGGGCGGCCTGTTTGAAATTACACTGCTCAGCTCTCCACCCTTCGAAACTCATGTGTCAATTCAATAAACTCAGGATGTATCAAGAACATAAAGATCGAAGTAAAATAAAGATCCTGATTAGTCATTCACCTGAGCCAATAAAAGTCTGTTTGGTGGCACCTGGTGCCAGGCAGTAGGCAGGGAGCACTCCCAGCTCTCTCCATTATGGGCAAGCTGCGTACGCTTTCAGTTTCAGTAGCCTCATGCCAAGAATGTGGGTACTGAAAGCTGTGAGGCAGGGTTCTCAGGAGTGTTAAGATGACACGAACTCTGACCCACGGCCTGGCGCCCTGGCTTGTTCCCATTCTGGAGCCCCCTAACCTTGGCAGATTCTGGTAGAATGCTGTTCAATTGTGACTGGCCCAGTAACTGCCATTTTTAATTTCCAAATGATGAAAATACCCACGCACCAGGCATTCTCAAGCTGAACCTCCGACTTCAGTCACTGGTTTATCTTGGCAATGTGCTGCAGGTGTTCCAGCTCTCAAGTCCACCTGCCGCAAGGCTGGCTGTGCTCTTACCTGGGGTTATTGATGACTTTCACCAGCGCTTCATACAGCTCTCCTTCCGTCACTGTCTTCCACTCTAGCAAGATCCCCATGCCTTTTGCCTGCACGCGGGTCATGGTATCATAATGATCTCCAAAGAGTGGGATTCCCACTACAGGGACACCATGATACATGGTTTCAAAGATACTATTCAAACCACCATGGCTCAGGAAGGCTTTGATATTTGAATGCCCTAAAGAAGGACAGAACAGAAAACAGTTTTTATTACTGGAAGAGATGCTCCAGAGATAAAGAGTAGTGCAGTAAACATCTACTTTGGAAAGAAAATATCAAAGGCATAATTTCAATAATCCCAGCCCTAGGCCAAATGAAATGATTGATATACAAAATTATCTGATCTCTGTCTCTGTCTTGCTCTCTGCCTCTCTGTCTCTCTCTCTGATATGTATCAAAAGCCAAACTGGTCTCTCAACTTAGCTCTAGCAAGGGACCTTTCTTTGCAGTGTTTCTCAAACATTTGTCTTAGCTTAGTCCTGATACAACTCATTCTTTGAGCAGAGCCTTCGCACCAAGAGTGGAGCAGCACCGGCTCTGAGGGCAGGTGATGCAAGCTATGCAGCTTCTATCGACCCACAAATTCCGGATGGAACGGAAATGCTCTGAAAAATCAGAATTCCCATGCTAACTTATGTTATGACCTCCCTTTGTGTATAATCAAAATATTCTGAGCAATCATCAGCTTACGGCTGGACTGCCTGAGCCTCATAAGGTGCTGCCTGGCCCAGTCAAGCAAGCGCTGCCCCAGGTTGGGCAATTCCTCTTGAAGTCAAAAATATTATAACTGGCTGATTAATAAAAGCACTTATAACAAAATCAAGACAAGGCAGTACTAGAACATGTTAAAAAATAATCAGAGTTCTTTTACTGACGGGAAGAGAACCCAAATCTTATCACTCTACCCTCTTACTTAAGCTTTTTATTGCTCAGTCTTTAAATGAGTCATCTTACTATCTCCCTTAGTGATTGATCTACAAGAAAACTCCTCTACTCTAGCCCTCTTGACGTTACCCTCTCCCACAACTTCACCGTGGCCGGCGACCTCACCTTACCCCCTTCACATCTCGAGCCGGCCTCTACCCTAGCCCTCCACTTTACCCTGTAAGATGGCTCAATGAGAAGGAAGATTATTAAGTAGAATTTAAGGTTGAAAGGGATTTTATTTTAGCCAGTCATCACTGCGGTAAATATAACAATGTTAGCCTTAATTTTATGAATTTATGTACCTATCTTAACGTCAATAGATTGATTTTAAGAATAATAAATGTTATAATCTCAGCTGAAGGTCAACACGACCCCAAACTGTTCTTATAAAAAATTATAGGGCCCTCCCTGACTGTGCAGCGGCTTAAAGCACAGCACTAAGAAGCTAAAGCCACTTTGCATGAGTTCGATTCCACCTGCCCCGGAGGTGACCGGCTGACCTCTCCTGACTGACCCACCTGCAGTGTACTTCGACTATCTGTCTGTTCTGCTCCCCACTCTGTCTCTGGTGAATCCTCTCACTGCCCCTGAGCCTCTGGCCTGTACCCCAGTTCTGTATGCATAAATAAGTCTTAAAAAAAAAAGATTATAATCTCTCAGCCCAGTTCATGTGCTGACGTCATTCCACCGCTTGCTCGTAATGTATAAAATAAACTGCTGAGAGCAGGACAGGAAGACTTGCACCCAACTTCAATCCCCGTGTCTTCCTTGTGCCAGCTCCCCTTTCCCCCCCTTTTAGGAATCTCCGCTTGCTGATGCCAGTCCCACCTTCAGACCTGCCTGTTCTGCCCCCCAACAATACGTGATCGGGGCGCCAGTCCCCAACAGGCAGAAGCCATAGGGGAGGGGAAAGACACCATCTGGGTCCCAACTTGGCACCTTCGGGTCCTCGCTGGAAGCCGACCGAGGGCCAGAAAGGCCAAGTGTGGAGCTCAAGAGAACCCAGGCTTGCAGAACTCAGGAAGTGAGCGAGATTGCAAGGACCCAGAGGAGAATGCTGGGCAGGTGTTGGGTGTGGGCCCCAGGGAAGTGCCGCTGCTGGAGTGTCTCCCAGCAAAAACCCAACCCCACCCAGTGACATGTCCCAGGAAGGGGCGTGAGCTGTGGCACTAAAAAAACCATGTGTCCTAACAGCACACCTGGATCTCCTGCTCTCCCTGCTTTCTAAGGAGCCTGAGGTCATAGAAGTAAACAATTCTCATTGCAAATCCAGTTTGCCAAGTATATTTTCTAGGACCAGTGATGCAGCGCAGCTAACAACTGGCGTGAACCACACACGCTGTCCAGGCCACGTCTGCAGAGGAGCGTTTACAGGGTTAAACCCGGCGCGGGGCACTGCCACCAGTCAGCGACTTACCGAGCAGGTCGTTTTGTGGCAGCCATTCTATCAGCTTCGTGTTGTTTCCTAGATTCTTTGGTTTGGTCCCGGAAAACCTGAAATGTGCACCAGACAGTGAATCTTTCAGACTGAGTCGACTGGTGGGATGTACAGACTGGCTGGTTCAACCACTGCATTGAGCACAAAGGCCATCTTTGGTTGATATTCCGAAGGAGGAAGCCATTCTTTCGTGACAGCAAACGTTCGATTACCTTTCTTTTTCACACTTTGCAAGACTTTCCAAAAGAAAGTGTTCGCTCTGTGCTGAGACCTAAGCAGCCAGATGAGCCTGTGGGAGAAGGTCCTTCTCCACCAGACCCAGAGGTGGAGCGCTGGGGGGGGGGGGGACCCCTGGCTTAGTCCCTCACACAGGAGCCAGGTGCGGGTGTGGGAGGACTGCAAGAGGCAGACTGAGGGGTCGAGGGCGGCATCAGGCGTTTGCTGCCTTCATGTTGGAAAGAGAAGAGCAAAGAGTTTGTACCGGGGACACAAATGGTCCAAATGAAGCAGCAAGGTGCTTTCTGGGTTGGGGCAGTAGAAGAAACCCAACAGGGCTGCGTCCAAGTGACAAGTCCTGCAGGCCTGGAACACAACAGGAAGCTACCCACAGCTGCGCCAGGGCGCAGCAGCAGAGCGGACCCTACCGCTGCGGTGCAGGAAACAGGGTGCTACCTGCAGCCCAGGGAGATGGTCTCTCCCCACCATGTATAAGCTG